TCAATCAATCCTCAAAGTACAGAATCACGTCTCTTACTTCCCAAGTTAGGTGGAATCTAAACAAGAAGCTTAACTAACTAAATAAATCAAATTAATGGAATCTGAATAAGACGACACGAGGGAGATGAGGATATATACGAGGTATGATACGATATTAATACTTAATTTAATAACGTTTCGTTTGGTACCAAAGTCTTTGACCAACAATGTTTCAATATCACGCTACGAATCACACGAATAGTCTCTAACAAAATCTTTTACTTTGTTGGCGATCAAATATCAGATTTCGTCTTAATTAATAATTTATTATAGAGCTTATATATATATAATCATCCGGCAACCGGTTTTTTTTTGGATCCTATTACCAGGTATCTGAGTAACGGACCAATCCAGTTCGGGATTCGTGACTTTTCCTTCCTATAAAAGTGTCTCCTCTAGACTTGAACTCCAGACCCAAAGGGACATAACGGGACCTTACACTGCTAGACAAACTCTTTATTGGTAGAGTCCTTTTAAGTTTTAATTAATTAACAATGCGTTTACAAGAAGAAAAAGTGGTGTCCCCACAAGAATCAAATTCCAGATCATAATTAAGCAGTTTCAAATCGTTGAGTCTGAATAAGCTGTACAACCTTGAAATAATTAATGCAATAATATATATATATAATTTCTAAAAGCAAGCACGTATTGTGATACAAATTAATTAAAAATGATCTAGTTGCTCAATTAATCACCTCTGGGAAATTCTTTTTAGGTTGTGGGTTGCGAAATCGTTATCTGAATTCTAAAATGTGTTTTGTCTTTGTTTGCCTTTAGGATAGGGTCATAGCTCATAAGGTTGCTTTTATAATATAAGGAGGTTTTAGGTTTGAATTATGGATAGCTAAAGTTAAATCTAAATCACAAATCTCTATATCCTAATTAAATTTAACTGTTTTGTCTAATTATGTTGTTGTTGTTGTTGTTATAGATTCGCAAAACTATACTAAATCCATTTGGAGCAAACAAAGGTTAAGATAATAATATGACACAAAAGAAAGAGTTGAAAAGGAACACAATGGAATTGGATTCAATCGTGCCATTATTATCGTCTCTACTATTATTTTTGTCGCAGAGATCGATAAGTAGTGTCTGCGATTTAATTAAAGTGGTTGAGTTGAAGCATGATTGATTTGAACTATTCCCATCTCATAACTTTGTGACAAATTTGTGTTTATATATATATATATATGATGATGGGGTTTTCAAATTTTAATTAATTAGAACCTGCCTACTTTGACTAATTAATCACACAACATGTATATAATTCAACCGTGTTAATGAATTCCTCCTTTGATTAAGAATTTTTTTAATCATTAATTATTAATTATTGAATGCATGATTAAGCCAGCCACTCTCTTTACAAAAACATGTACATATGGTAGTTTGGAGAGGACATTTTTGCAACTATTCTCGGATTTATTAGATTGGTAGGGACCATCTAATATGATGAAATCTGCTTGATTGTTTTGAATATATATATATATATATATATGATTTTTAATTTATTGTCGAATTCGTTAATTAAAAATACAACATATTAATCTTCTTTGTAAAAGCTTCATGATATAATTTTGAATTGGGAAATTTATTTTCTTATAATATTTAGCGGTTAGAACTTTAAACTGAGAGTTAAGTTGTCCAAAGAGGGAGTACACATTTAATGTCAGTTTTGAACTGTTCTCTACCTAAATTATTATATGAAGCGAATTTCAGAGTAATTAATTAATTTAAATCGGCACGTCTCCAATATCTCTTGAACATTATTACCTCTGGTCCTAATTATAAAAACTAGTTGACTAATTTGAGAAAATTAAGAAAATAAATTAAGTTAGTTATTTGTTATCAATAGATACTGTCTTTCTTAAAATATTATTGCTAATCAAATGCATTAGCTAAAAATATCATTATTAGAAGGATTATCTTAGGAAAAAATAGATAAATATGAGAGACAAAGTGGATTGGGATCTTATAATTAGGACAAAAATAAAAATCAAACGGTGTCTTATATTAAGGAACGGAGGTAGTACCTCTTAGCCTCCATTTGATTATGTGATACAAATTACAAAGCCTGCCTAACACTTTAAACACGTTTAATATATTTGATTTGCTTTCGAATTGACTCTAATTAACACGGGTGGATGCATAATACATGTAATTGATCTTTATTCTATGGCTGCGAAGGAACTAATAAATAAATAACTGACAGGTAAATATTAGCATATAGTCAAAAGAAGCAATTAAGAAGTTCAAGTAGATGTTAAATTGTCTAAACCAAAAAAAAAAAAAAAAAGGCCATTAAGAAATCGGGAAGATGCATGAAGAGGGCTTCATCTGTGTTTTTCATTAAGCTAAAAATATAGTAGATACTTAAATTTACAGAATCCAAAAAGTGTATCTTGTGGGAAGTTAACTTTTAAAGTTTAAGCTTTGAGGTGTTATAAGTAGCATTTTTTTTTTTTTTTAAATTACCTATAAGTAGCATACTTTGATTCAGTTAAATGAAAACATGTATTGTTTCCATTCTTATTTATAACTAACATTTGAGTGTTATAAATATTGTATATATGTAGATGTCCATAACCCCCAACTCTTAGGATTCTTCATAGGATTTTTGATCTTTGAATGTCTTAAACCCATAACCCCCCAATGAATTACTTTAGAGGAGTTTTTCATGTTTATTGTCATTATTCCCTTATTCATTTCTTTGTAACTCTTGGATTAGACTTTTATGGTTGGAGGCCTATAAATAGAAGCCACATACAAGGCATTTGTACCCATATATGTATATGAGAAATACTCCTTGTTTTCTCTCCCAATTCTTGTCTTGCTATCCTCTTTCTACTCTCAAACTCTCTTATTTTTATAACAGAAGTTTTTTTTATCTTTCTATATATTTACAAGTCATTTTCTAAAATCTATATAACAACTTTTTTTTCCCCCAATATTTCCTAACTCCATCTTCAAGGTAGTATAAGTAGTATAATTTTTTTTAAAATGATGTGACTTATAAATATGATTTAAAAAATTTTCTATTTTATAAATAAGACTATGAGAGTGTGTTTTATATCTAGGAAAGAAAAAAAAGAGAGTAGTTTCTTTTTGGATTTAAAAAAAAGTAGTTTCTGTTTGAATTAAGTTATGCTCGAAAGTTTTTATTCAAGAACGCTAGGTACTTAGAAATTTGTTTTGGAAGCAAATTAACTATATTGTCCCATATTGTTAAAAAAAAAATAATATTGATTGTTAAAATAGTGACATTAAACATTAGCATTTTTAATAGTAAATGACAATATTATTATGATTTTAAATTTTTAGAATAAAGTAGTATATAAAAAAAAAACTTTCAGGCGTCCAACACTTCTAGATACAAACTTTTGAAACAATTTTTTATTATTATTATTATTTGGCTTTTCTTCTATACCATTAAAAGCTTTGGTTGGACTGCACAGTCCAAAAACCTGTAAATGCATCGAAGTGGCATCTCAATCAGTTTCACAATCACAGAGAAACCCATAATTCCAATGACCAAACACATCCAAAATTCTTAATTGGCTGCACATACACATGCATCTGCCCACTTTTCAAAAAAGTGGGCTTTTAAATAACCAATCCCTCCCAGAAAATGATGTTTTCTTCTCCCTCCCCATCTCCTCATTAAACAAAGCCAATAATTAAGTATTTTATTTTATTTTATTGCCATATTTTTCCTCCTTTTTCTTCCTCCTTGAATTTGATCCCCTTGGGAAATCACCACTTCCATGTGACATTCTTGGCTTTCCACCCATCCATATCACATCACCATCACAATCATAGCCTTTTGGCCTCAACCAAACATTAGACTTTGGTGAATTCTCATTACTTGCAGATGTATGGCACCAAAGATACAATGTCCTATAAAGTTGATAGTGATTTGATATGGGGACTTTAGTTTATTTCGTTTATCTCATCAAAGAAGAGTTAAATGAGTGTGCTAGCGTGCATGTGTCTATGCACACTCAGCTAAAGTCAGATTGTGATTGATTATTTGATGAGCATTTTCCCACCTTGGGCAGGCTCTTCTTTTAATTGTTTAATTGATACATATCACATTAGAGAGAATCATTATCATGATCAAAGGGGTTGAGAATCACAAACACTAGGCGTGATAATGGGTATAAACTTTGAATAAATCAGCAGAGTCTTGTAAGAGCCGTTCAAACATAGAAGTATGGACTATGGACAGCGTCTGTTTCGACAGGAAAATGCGTTTGCAAGTTTCATACCTACCAAGAAAGTAGTTGGTGGTAATGCAAGAAAATAAAGCAAGAAAAAGCCCTTGTCCACTAAGAAACCCATAAAATCTTTAATGGCGCGATAGAAGGAAGGCTTCAAGGAGATGGATTATACAGATCAGATAGATGGAATTTATCTGTCACAAGGTAGGTGTCCCTTTGGAATCAAAACTATAAATAAATAATACAAGTCCTGATTAAAAGACAAGTTATGCATAATCAAGGGGTAGGGTATCCCATTGAGACAAGAATTTACTCACTGGAACTCGTGTAATTATGTTTGGTTGCCTGGAAAAAGGGAGAAATAAAGAAAGAAAAGGATACAAGGGAAAGAGCACATATTCCAAAGTGGTCTCTTTCCTCAGCTGAAAGAGTGGGGAACACAGTGATCCAGAAGGCAGGAATATGTACGGCCTGGCCTGCTTTTTCCATAATCTTTATCAGGTGAATAGTCCCACCCACCATCTTCCTTCCATGACTCATGCCAACCTTCATTGATCTGTTCCTTTCAGAAGTCAAATTCAGTTCAGAGAAGCCCTGTAATGGAGATGCAGCTATTCTGAGTTGACATTACCTCTTCTTCAGGTTTCAGCTCTTCACCATCAAATGAGACCACCACGAACAATTATTTTAGTTTTACCATACATGGTCAAAACTTGGTGCCTGTTTTTCAGATCAACTAGAAGGAACCAAATAATTTTATGGGGGATTTTACTTCTTAAACACAACTGTCTGTAACAAGTCAAATGATCTTAGTTCTCAATTCAAGACTGGGTCTCCCCTCAATTACAGTTTCCAAGCGACTAAACCAACTTGCTAGGGGAAAAATACCCACAGATCAGTTTACAAGTGATTGTCATACAGCCCATGACACAGTTGTGGTCATTAGTGAACAACATTACTTTCTCTAGACCAGTAGTGCTAAAAATAAGCAAACAATAACTTAATAGGATTTTACCCAATCATATTACAATGCAGTATGTAAACAATACAGCTACATTTCGGGGGGAATACAACAACATTCGGATGCCTACTCCTATCAAGAACAAGAAGCTAACGCCCAACCATTATGAAATATTGCCTCACAAGTCATAACTTCTCCACATGCTCAAGAGAAGAAAAGTGCTTGTCAATGATGCTAAGAGTTTCTTGATCAATTTCAGCAGTGGCAACCAATTTAGGTAGAGAATAGTCTATTTCTTTTACGGGTGCAGCATCACTTTCATCAGTCTGATTCTTTGGTGTTTCATTGTCTTCTAGTTCCATTGCGCAAGCGCCTTTGTCTGAATTGAAAATTTGCGACTTCATCTCCAGGCACGATTTCAAATCCTCCTCATTTCGGGCTCTATTGATTTTATCTATAAGATCGTTTATAACTGATAGCCTTTCTTTCCTGACTCTTTCTGAATCTTGATTAGGTTCTTCTTCATCAATCGATTCATTAACGTGACCATCTAAAGCCCACTTTTGAGCCTTCTTTAATCCCTCATCAACAATTTGTTGTATTCGCATTCTCATTCGATCACTTCTGATTGAGTTTGACCTTAGCTGCAACTTCAGCTTCTGGATCATTGTTTCATTGTTGTTCTCCATTGAAATCTGATTAGAATCTGATACAGAGGGCACATTGTCTTCCATAGACTCTACAAGCAATACTTCCTTCAGTAAATCTACATTCTGCATATATCGGTCGAAAGCTTCATTTTCCACTTCAATGTTTCGCTCCCTGTACTCTCTTAACTTGGAAAGTCTCCATTCATTGATAACTGCAGCATCCTGTGACAACTCCCAAAATTATACAGCTACGCAGAACAAATTAATCTAAACAAGGATTAGTATATCTGTGCACCTTCCTAGTCAGTGGCTTCCTTGATCGAAGTGAGACATGCAAATTATTGAACTGGGCAAAACTGTTGGAAAGTTGTCGAAGTGATGCAGCTCTGCTTACGTTCCTGAATTACATTAAGAGAAGAAAGATAACAACCGGCTCCAAACAAGAAAAAGAACCACAAAGATGCTTAATGTAAATTATACAATCCATGATCCAGTGAATTAATCAATGAGATCATTAGAAAGTACGTAAGAAAAACATACTTGAATTTCAAGCGGGGAGAAAAAAACTGCATTAAGAAGGCCCGACATTAAACTTGCCTAGATAGAAATCGAAAAACAGGGTGTATAAAAAATGGAACTCTAAGTTAGAACCTCTTCCAGTAAACTAAAGCAAGGTAATTTTAGTGGTTTAAAACTTAGGCCCAACTTATTTAGAACAAATACTGAATAGCAAACTTCACGTTAGATGAAAAATGAAAACACTCTCAGGACTGCAGAATCCAGCCGTGTTTACAGCTGAGTGGGAATGCTGTTCTAATGCGGGGAAAACAAGCTTACGTTGTTCTCATCAATATCTCTTCTACTCTTTTTACCTAGGGCTACATTTATCAAAATTATTAGACTATGATGATGCATGGAAATTTTGGTTTCTTTGGGGGAGGGGGTGGTTATTATTCATGACCTACACAGATTGAGATGATTCTGAGGATGGCTGATCAAGCGAAGCAGCAGCAGAAGCTGGTGTCTTCTCGGAATGACTTGAATTTGCCTTCAACACTTCATTTACCACCACGTGGAAAAGCAAATAAAATAAAATTTTGTTATGTCAACAATAATTGGAAAAACTTATAAACAAATTACACAAAGTAAACAGAAACTCTCAACTCTGCCAACAGCAAAATCGCTTTTTACATGCTTCCTGTTTCATGTTCTTGTTATGTAGGAAAGTAAAATTGCCTCCATAATGCCACTAGTCTGAAAGACTTCTACTTTTGTTATTCCTTCAATACAAATTGAATCTAATCATGGCTGCCAAAAATGTCCATCTTGACAAGGCAGATCGGGTTATCCGCATATATCTGGGTGCTATGCTAATAAAAACCTTGTAAATTTAACAAGCATATTCCAGTCTCCATAATTCTAGATACTAGGCGTAAAATATGAAGTAACTCATTTCATAACTATCATTGAGCAGAGATGTTTTGTAAGTGAGATGAGCTTGAAACACTATCGCTTATGAACAGACGCATGGTGATTGGAGTTCTACCATCGCTTCAGAATCTTATCAAAAAGAGGTAATAGTAGAGACACCAAGGGCTATATCAAAATCAGGCAGTTGTTAGCATCTTTATAATAAAAACTACACTATTCCCATCTCACTAATAAGCCAACTAAAAATTAGACATATCCATTACAAATATGATTTTTAACCCTAATGAGAAACCGCAGGGTGTTATACTGATTTCAAAGAATCAAAACCAGGTTCATAAAATATATATATATATATAAACTACTAAAAGCATAGAGTTTGAAAATTCAACACACCATGAATATGACAAGGATTTTGATTTCTTGAACAGCAACTCTTGCATTGTTCATATGGACACCTACAGAATTAATTAAAACTCATCAAAAAATGCCATAAAAAGAATGAATTGTAACTCTGATAATAATATGCTATTATGTGGACGCCTGCATAGTTAATTAAACTCATTAAACAAAAACATCGAACAACAATGGGATTTAATGTCAATGCACAGTATGATTCAGATTTCCAAAGTTCTCTCTCCTTTTTCTAGAAGTTCAGAGAATCAGTTTATCGTGTATTTGCGAGACAGCTATGCACAATACAAAAAGAGTGATTCTTATTAGTGCCCAAGGTCAAAAAACTAGCATCCAACTTGATTTGTTCACTTATCAAGGATACATAGGAGGATGGACTAACCAACTCAGGCATACTATCAATGGCATGGCTCAACAGAGAAATATTTAATCAGCAGTATGCAACTACTCAATGAAAACAGAATCATATTAGGACCATGCCATGATATTCATCCTTTGTGGCCCAAAAAATATAAAATTCACCATTTTCATATGACATTGAGGACCTGGATTTGTAAACACTTCCTCCACCCATTACCCACACTATATTTTCTGTACTAAATACATATGGCTTCATACATCAAATAACTCCTGACTTTCCTCTGCATCAACTTCAAGATATTAACCCACTGGAGGCCGAGTAACTAGTGATAACATATTCTGGACCCATAATTATGAAACAAACATTAAGTGAGAGTATTCTAATTTGCATGGTCAAAGTTTTCTCTAGATCAAATTCCAATCAGAAAATCCGATATAAGAATCAAACCAGATTTTTGTGTCCCTTGAATGAAATAAATGTAACAAAATACCTGTAGTTTCCCAATTACTTTTCACCCCGGCGCAAGGATTTGAATTATGCAACAGAACCACAAGCTCTTTATGATATGCCAGTGCCTACTAGTCATCCGACAAGTTTGTGTGCATATTTCATATAATCTAGTCAGCTTTTATTGTTCAATCGACGTTACACCAGCTCTAATGTTTCAAAGCCAGAAACAAGCTAACCCAAGACCGAAATTCAGACATAAGGAGAGCCAAGTAACTAAAGAGACTTTCTTTCTTCAGAAAATTGACAAAAAAAGTTCCAAAACGTATATCAACTACACAAATGAATTCTTGGAAACGCGGAGAACGAAAAATAAAATTTGAGAAGAAGATTTACCTAGAACGAGCAACATTGCCACACTGTCTGCACTTGGGCTTATTCTGCCCACGTTGGGATTTTGGAGCGACGTCCGTACGATTGCCCGAGCCAGCAGCGCCAACCAGGGCTGTTGCCTTGGAAGGAGTTGTTGCAACGGCGCTCGAAATCGCATTGCTGCCATTGTTGTTGGGTGCCGGCGAAGCGGTCGCCATAACTGCGACTAGGTTCTTCGAAGGCGCGTACGCGAAATTGGAAGAATTTAGGATGAACGAAAAAAGCGAGAGTGCGCTAATTCGCTAGCTCTTTCCTTTCCTTTCCTTTCCTCGGCACCTGAGAAAAACAAATTGCGTGCTTTCTTATTTATTTATTTATTTTAACTTCATCACCTGGAGTTTATCAGTCTTGGCCTCGAGGACGACGCAGATCGGGACGCCGGAGCCGAGTTGACGACGACCATTGGGGTTTGATCGACTATAAGCAGCTTTGGGTTATCGATCTCTTGAGTTCAGAATAAATTATAATTGGGCCAGGCCCAAAACTGTTTATTCACAATGGGTTCATTTCTCCCTTTGCAAATTTATATAAGGGCTTGTATATTTTGATTTGATATGGGCCTCATATATTTTTGCGTTCGATATGGGCCTTATCTCATGAAATATGATACGAATGATACAGATTACAATGAAATTATGTACCAACAAAAAAAAAGATTACAATGAAATTGGGCCCCATATCACAATGGGCTCATTTATCCGTTTTCATAACGTTTTTTCTCCAAGTCTATATATGGGCCAGTACATTTTTAGCTGATATGGGCCTGTAAATCACGTCGAACACGATATGAATAATGCAGTTTTGCTGGAGATTTTCTTCCAAATATTGAACTTAATGATGATGATTTTTTTTTTCAGAATCACAATTTTTTTTGATAAAAAACAAAATTGGTCTAATTACGTATATTTTTTTTATTTTTAAATGAATATGATATCTTCAATTTTATTAAGATTGCATGAACTTTCAGTTCATGTTTAGAACTTACGTAAATGTCTCCTAAAATAAAAAGATAAGTGTACACCAAAAATATAAAATAAAAAAATAAGTTGCATAAATTGCTCTTAAAGTTAATGAAAATATCACCAAGTTCTCATCTATTTTAATTATGCATAATCTTTAACAACAAAAGGAATGGTTGTATAATTTTAATGAAACTCAAAAGTATGTGGACTTTAATTTTCTTCGTAGATACTCCTCCGGTCCTTAATATAGGACCCAATTCTTGAGTTGGTTTTAGTCCTAAATATAAGACCCATTCTCATATTTATCAATTTTCTCTAAATTACCCCTATGGATACTCTCTCAACCATAATCAAGTAGAAGAGAGAGATGGGGTATTAAGAAAGATAATTATGGTGTTTTAGGAAAAATGTGTCACTTTTTTATAATTAACTAACTTACCTAACTTCCTTAATCTAATCAAATTAGTTAAATGGGTCTTATATTAAGGACCGGAGGAGTAACATGTATAATTCATGTTTTTCCTGGTTTGGAGATATTAGTAAGTTTTTTAAGGAAAGAATGCCATTTGAGTTGAACAAAATTCAGTAGATGTTAAAGCAGGCCCCTCACATTTACAGAAATAAGGAATAGTGTAAATTTAAGAAGCAGTGGATCAAAAAAAGTGTGAATTTCTGTAGTTTTTACAGTGGTAATAATATCTATGTAACTTGAGTAATTTGAGGAATGCTTATCCATTTGTGCGTGTGAACATAAAATATAAATATGGTCAAGAGGATTCAGTTTCGTTGTGGGGAATATTTTGATGGAATCGTTCAGAATCTTGTTATGCCATTATTATTAAATATCTAAGGGTGGGAGATAGACATAAAATCCATGGTGGGAGCTGAGAGGGGAGGGATTATATACACACACACACAATGCATATATATCAAAGATAACGAAAGTTATTCACATATTAATCCCAATTAATTACGAATTAAATCCCAAAAGAAAGAGACTAAAAACACAAAACAAACCCAAATCAAGTAAAATCAAAGATTTTGTATCTGAAAATAATCTTACTTTAACAAACGCAAATGGGGATATAATGAGAAGTTGTAAAAGATTTTTTTTTTGTCAAGAAAAAAAAAAGTTGAGTTAGGTCTCAAAAGTTCATTAGGATTAGGAGATATTTTCAAACATAAAAAGCAAGTATAGATATATTTTAAATTTAAAAGCTTGATAAATTGTGGATCAAGTTCTTATTAACTAGATTAACTACTATGAACTATACATCAGAGTTTTAACTTCTTC